CGATCTTTTCGTCTTTCTTTCTTTTATTCTCGAACTTTTTAGTGTGATACTTGTGGTGGAAATGACGATTAAATGGTGTAAATGCTTTCATGTGTGTTTTTTCTTTCTCCTCCTTCTCCTCCTCCTTCTCCTCCCAACCCGGAAAAGATTTTGTCTCATCTCATCTGGAATAAGGAATAATAATGATAGTTCGTGAGTGCGTTTTACGTGTGCGTATGTTGAAATGCGTTGTTGCCATTTTTTTGTTTTTGTCAAATAATTAAATTAAAGCGTGAGAACAATTTTTATTTATTGTTGTTGTTGTCGTTTTATTTGTCAAAATGATTCGTGCCACGTTTTTTTTTTTTTATAAAAAATAAAGAGCAGACGAAATTTTTTTTTTTTTCGATTATAAATGATAAGTAATTGCATTAGTAATTATGGCGGTAAGAAAATTTATTATTATTATTATTATTATTATTATTATTATTATTATTATTATTATTATTAAAAATTTCGATCTGAGTTTTTTTTGTTTTTTCCGTTATGCGTTATTTTGTTTTGATCGTCGTCGTGTTGCGCGAATTCGTTTATTATCATTATTATTATCATTATTACGTATCCTTAATTCGTCTGGTAATGATAATAATAATAATAATCTTGCGCGTGAGGTATAAATGATTTTGTTTAATTTCATTTTAGTTCGGTTATAAAAAAAATGGTGAATTTTTTAGTTTTTTTTTTTTTTTAGTTTTTTTTTTTTTTGAGATCATTATAACGGACATAAATGGTGTTTTGTCCGTTGCTATTTGGAAGAAAGGCTTTGGGCAATTCGGACCATATTTTTTTCACGTTTTAGTTCTTTTTTTTTAATCGCGTGCTCACGTCATTTGTTAACTGACAAATTGAAAAATTAAAAATAGTAATGATAATAATAATAATGATAATAGTAGTAGTAGTAGTGTGAGAGCGGTGGTGGTAGTAGTAGTAGTAGTAGTAATAATGATAACGACACATAGAACATTAAGGTACGACAGGGAATTCCCCCGAGTATTTCAACAGAAAGTGGTGATGGTGGTGGTGGTGGTGGGGATAACGATAGTCGTAGTAATAATGATGATGATGATAATGATAAACCGAGAAAAAAAAAAAATTATTTATCAATGTTGTTGTTGCGTTGTTGCTTACTTATCGCGCACGAATAAATAAAATGATCGGGATTTTTTGTATTTTAACCGTCGTCGTGACGTCATCGTCGTCGTCATTTATACCGCTAAATCCCTTATTGGAAGTAACTAATGATAATAATAATAAAACCTGCTAAAATCGTCAGTCTCTCAATATTGAAAAAGAGTAACAGCAGGAGTGGTAGTGGTAGTAGATACGTTTTGTCGTTTTTAAGTTTGAAACACGGTAGTAGAGCATTGGTAAATTAATAATAATAATAATAATAAAACATGAAACGGATAATTCGTTCTTGTCGTCGTACTTGACTCACTTCTATAAATGATAGATAGATGTATAGATATTTGAATATATTAGGGCCATTGTGTGTTGTGTGTTAGATTTATGATTTTTTTTTTTTTTTTTTTTTGAGGTCGCGCGTTTTGAATTAAATTGAAAAAAAAAAAAAAAAAAAAATTATTTAGTCGAACAAAAATGATTTACGTCACCGGTTGTACTAAAATCAAATTATTTTGAGGTCATAGAGAAATTTTTTCTTTTTTAAAAAAAAAAGGGCGGGACAGGAAGGGAGGAGGGAGAGAGGGAAAGCACACGGAAGTGATGACGTGAAAGCAAGCAATCCGACGTTTTTTATTTTTTTTTTAAATTTTCGTATTGAATTTTCAAAAAATTAACCGCCTACGTAAAATAACAATAACTATTTGAAAGTTTAAAAACAAAAATAAATAATAATAATAATAATAATAATAAAACAGGGGAAAGCGTCTCTTGTTCGTTTCCTTTGCGATCGCGAAAAAAAAAAAAAAAAAAAAGTGTGTGTGCGATCTCGAAACGCACGCGCACGCGCGCGACCAACTTTATTCGATAAACTTAAAATTGGCAACGCTGCATAATAAAAAGAAGGAAAGAAAAAAAATTTTTTTTTTTTTTTTTATTATTAAACGAGTTAATTGCAGCAGAAAGAATAGCACGGAGAGAGCGAGAGAGCGAGTGAGAGAAAGAGAAAGAGAGAAAATAAAATAATAATAATGATGATTTTTTTTCGTTTTTTTTTTTTTTTTTTTTTTTTTTTTTTCAATTTTAATTTGATGGCGGATGGAAATATTTCGGGCGGGAAAGAAAGGGGTAAAGATAGAATGGGGAGGAGGAAGAGGAGGAGGAGGAGGAGGAGGAATGACGTTTGAACATGTAATGAAGCGTTTAAATACAAAAAAAAAAAGATAATAATAATAATAATAATAATTTTTCTCGGGAGAAATGAGAGTGGTGATATGTGCGCCGTTAGGGTAGCGAGGGAAGGAGAGGAGAGAAGGGAATTTTTTTATATTTTCCTTATCGGTTTTTATTTATTGATTTCGTTCGATTATTATTATTATTTAAAATTGTGATTTATCGTAATGGAGTTTTAAATTCCGTCACGTGCACGCTATAGCTTTCAATATTATTATTATTATTGTTGTTGTTGTTGTTGTTGTTGTCGTTTGTTGTTTATCTATTTATTTATTTGTTAAAAACTCGGGGGGGATGGGAGGGGGAGGGAGAGAGAGAGAGAGAGGCAGATAGAAAGAGACAGACAGGAGGAGAAAGCGAAAATAATAAAACGAAAGAGGTTTTAATTTTAAGGTTTGCTAATTTTTTTTTTTTTTAACCTCCTCTTCCTCCTCCCCCTTCCTTTTGTTTCGAAACTGATTTTTTCGCACGAAAACTTTATATTTATATATTTAATAACGTTGACCGCTCCAGTAATAATAATAATAATAATAATATTAGCTTTGAATTTAATGGTTAAAATTACTTTGAAAATTTACAAATGAAATGATAATGATGATGATGATGATGATTTTAATAAAAGTAATAGTTTCGCAGTCCGTTAAAATAATAATAATAATAATAATGATAACGATGATGATGATGATGATGATGAATTTTATAGTAACTGTAAATGAAAAGAAAGAGAGAGAGAGGAGGAAATTCATGAGAGTGTGAGTGAGAAAACACATACTGAATATTATTACACGTATGGAAGAATGTCAAGTCATTGTTCCAAAAAAACATTTTTTTTTTTTTTTTTTTTTTTTAAATGTTGCCAACCGCAAATGAGAGAGATGTTGTTGTTGTTGTTGTTGTATCTAGCAGAAAACATGAGAAAAATTATTTGCTAGACTTTCTCTTTTCTCTTTTAGAAAAAAAATTCTTCTAGAGAGTTTTTTTTTTTTTTTTTTTAATTTGATGGTCGGTTGAAACCCACCGTCAAATACTCGCCGCTACCACCGCCTTGTTGTAATATATCACAACATCTTTAAACAATCGATTAAAAGATTGATGATGATATCGATGATGATGATGATGATGATGATGGCGATGATGGCGGCGGTAGTGGCGGCGGTTTCAATTTTTTTTAAAAAAAAAAATTAATTTTATAGGCGAGGCAACGATTGTCATTGTCCTTTGTTGTTGTTGTTGTTGTTGTTGCTTAACCAGAAAGTTTTACTACTTTCGTGATTTATTTATTTATTATGTTTGTCGTTTCTTCTTTCTTCTCTCCTCCTCCCCTCTCCTCCCTACGTTTTCACTCTTTCCAGGTTTCGCGATAAAGGAAAAAATATTATATCGGCGGTTCTAATTAAGAAAAAAAAAAAAAAAAAAAAAAAACGAAAAACCTTTGGTCGGTCCCTCGATGATGAAACAATTAAAATTAATTAAAAAAAAAGTTACGTAATTATAATGGCGAACCGCGAGTTCAACATTTAAAAGTTTAGACTTTTTTTTTCGGTCTTCATCTTTTTTGTTTTTTTTTTTTTTTTTTTTTTTTTTCTAATTCCACGATCTTACCGAAATCTAGTCAAACAAATTATTACCAAATATTTGTCGGAGGCTTGCGGGGGGAAACAAAAAAAAAAATTAAATAATAACCGGTGGTGATGATGTGAAGAGAGAGAGGAGGAGGAGGAGGAGGAGGGGAATAGGGAATTAGGGGTGTAAAGAGAGGGATAATACGTTTTACGTTCGCAACAGCCAAAAAATAAATAGAGGGTGAAAGAGGGGGATAAAAAAAAAAAAAAAAAAAAAAAAAAAAAGGTCGCACAAAACAACTTGAGAGTCGACAACGACGACGACGACGACGAGGGTTTTCGGTTGAAGAGGTTTTGATAAAAGGAGCAGCTTTTAATTACACCAAGTAGAAAAAAAATTTCTTTTTCCACGTACGATGATCGTCGTGGCGGCAGATTTCTTTTCCTCTCTCTCTCTCTCTCTCTCTCTTTCGAAAGTTTAAAAAAATCGAAAATCTTTCTTTTTCTTCTCTTTCAAGTATTTAGATGACGTATAATAAATAACATTCGAATCCTCTCGAGTTTTTCTTTCGTCACTCCCACCCTCCCCTCCCCCTCGTCATCCCCCTTCTCTCTATCTCTCTCACTCTTTTGCCGGAAACGCAATTTATATGTTTAAAAAAGGTGAATTTTTTTTATCTAGTGAATAAATCTCTTCGGGAACGAGGTCCAATGGGAAACGAAAACGGGAAAATTCCCTTCCCTTTTCTTCCCTTCACGATCCCCCCCTCCCCCACAAAAAAAAAATAAAGTTTAAGCCCCTTAACGAATTGAACATTACATTGAATTCGCATAAGAAGAAAAAGAAGAAGTTATCGATTTTCATTTTTTTTTTTTTTTTTTTTTAGTAAATTTTTAATTTGTAATGTTGGCATAATGTATGTAATTACACGAAAAATAATGACGGGTTTTTAGACGACGTGTTAACGATTCAACTTTTTTTTTTTTTTTTTTTTACTACGCGTAGTCTCTCGCTTATGGCCGCACATAAATACTTTGTTAAACATGCGTTTGCATATAATTGCTCATTGTATAATTTCTTCTTTTTGCGAGGTTCGTAGGGACCCCCACGACTCTCCTTCCACGTTTTAAAATGGGATGATAAAGGCACACGAAATTTTTTCGAGTGTTTGTTGTTGTTATTGTTGTTAATTTTGAAAAAGTGTACCTAACACCTAACCTTGAACGATTCGAAACGTGCGTGTATCGCAACAATTGATTGATTGCGCGAGTGTGCGTGCGTGTGCGCCTGTGTGCCTGTGCGTGTGCGCGCGTGCGCACGAGTTAATGAAAGGGAACCTGAATATTGACTTTCCCCTTTATTATCCATCTCTCAGCCGGCCACTTATTTTAAATTCGATCCTAGAAATTTTTTTTTTTTTTCTTTTATTCTCTCTCTCTCTCTCTCTTTCTCTTTCTCTCTCAATCTCTTCTTTCACGTTTTTGCGCGAATGATTGTTTATCGTTAAGACGTGTCGTGTCATTAGAAAAAAAAAAAAAAAGAGATAGAAACGAAACGAAACGAAAGCGTTGCGGGGAAATGTTTTTTTATTTTTTTTATTTTCGTGAAATTATTACTGTCATTATTATTATTATTATTATTATTATTATTATTATTGTCGTTATTCTATCATCATCGTCGTTGTTATTATTATTATTGTTGTTGTTTTCACGGTTAATGCGAAAATATGCGTTTTGGGAAGAAAGAAAAAACGTTCGCGTATAGATGGCGAATTACTTTTTTTTTTTTTTTAAGGTATGAAATGAAGGTCGTCGTCGGTCGTTTTTGTTAAGATGGCTGGGTGGGGTCTCTCTCTCTCTCTCTTTTAATAAATACGACTTTATATGGTTTTAATTTATCGTGACCTTATACGAGTGCTGAAAATTATCATTATTATTAGGTTTTCAAAGAGAGAGATAGAGAGAAGTAAAGCATACGTTATTTTTTTCTTTCGTGTTTGGTGCTGCAAATAATTATTATTATTAATTTTTTTTTTTTTTTTTTTGTATAATTTTCAGTGAGGATTTTGAAAAGGACACGGTGTCAAGTCAAAGTTCAGAATCCGGAGATAATCCGGATGGATTATCGTTTCCTCAGCAACTCGGTCTTATTAAACTTAAAAATGTCGAGGGTAGAACGTCGAGAAGAGAATCACAAGACGTGCAGGAAAATAATAATAATAATAATAATCCGGCTTTTTCGAAAAGGTACCTACAGTGTCCGGCCGTCGTGAGCGTTTTCCACTTGAAAAAATTCATACGGAACAAACACGATTTGACCGAGAAAATGCAGGTGAGTAAAAATGAAAGAAAGAGAGAGAGAGAGAGAGAGAAAGAGAGAGAAAGAGAGTGAGAGACAGAGAGAGAGAGGGAGAGGGAGAGAGTGAGTGAGAGAAAATTTTTTATATTGGATTTATTTAGAATGTTTCGTGGCACCAGAAAAAATGCTGCGTAGACTGGAAATGTCGAATATTACGACGGAAATTTGTCGTGAATTTTTTTTTTCTCTCTCTCTCAATTTAAAAGAAAATGGAAATCGATGAGGCGTGTTTTTGACGTCACACACACAAACACTCGTAATCTCGAAGAAGTTGCTTCGATTTCTCGAACGTTATTAAACGATATCCCACCGCTCCCTCTTTTCCTTCTTCCATTTTCAAAACTTAATTTTATACGGTGAAAATGATCGACGAGAGAGAGAGAGAGAGAGAGATAGAGAGAAAGGGGGGGACTGTTGGGGTTCACAAATCAAATGCAGTCAGCAATATTTCAAAAAAAAAAAAAAATCAAAATCGGCTAATTCAAATGTTTTTCTTTTTTTTTACTTCTTGAATTTTCGCGCGCATTTTTTTTTTTTTTTTTGTCCTCTCGAACTCGTCGTTAACTTCCTTGCACCTGGTTTTTGTTTGTCGAAGGGTTTTTTTTTTTTTTTCGGGTCGTTAGTAACCCTCTGTTTGTTCTACGTCACACACACACACACACATTTTAAATTATGCTCACGTATTACGTAGGTCAGCGCTTATTAATGTTATCATTATCATTATTATTATTATTATTATTATTATTATTATTATTTATTTTTTATTATTTTTCTTTTTCGTAGGTGAATATTATACATAAACGAGTTCCTCTTCCGGATCATTACACGTTAATGGACGTCGCTTACATATACACATGGAAAAAGGTGAGAGAGAGAGAGAGAGAGAGTCGATGTTTTACTTATGCCCCCAACTTTTACCCCCCTCCCTCCCTTCGTTTCTTAATTTTTATCCTACACTTGTTCCTCCAATCATCCGATAAGGCCACTATCGGTCATTGACATGATTGTTTCTTTTTTTTTTGTTTAAATCTAATCGGATTCATAATGATAATAATTAATTAGATGTTGTGAATCATCATTATTATTTTTCTTTTATCACTGTTATCATTGTTGGATTTCTTTTGCGGGGGGAAGGGAAGGGAGGGGCGAGTGTACAAATTTTTATAAAATGATGTTTATTATGAAAAGAAAGACAAAAAAAATAATAATTAAAGAGGATTTGTTGTTTGTTACCTTTTTTTACGAAGGTGGTAATTAGAAGTTTTTTTTTTTTTTTTTTTTTTTCCACGTTCACATTAAAAGAGGGTTAAAATATTTGAAATCATTTACATCCGGTTTAAAGAATAAAAAGAAAAGAAAAGAAAAGAAAAGAAAAAAGAAAAAAAATTTTTTTTTTTTTGAATGTAATCATTGAGGAATCCATGTTGAAACTTTTTTTTTTTTTTTTTTTTTTTTTTTTAGAGTTCTCCGATGAGATTTTTCTACAACATATGCGAAATCAAGAGACAAAGGATTAAAATGTTGCCGAGAGTGATCAAAGCGGAAGAAGAAGAAAAAGTACAACAACAACAACAACAACCGAAAACGGTGGCGGTCGTAAATGGAGAAACCGAATCTCCACCGGAAGTCACGGTCGGAGTGAAACAAAAAGAGGGCGTTAAAACGAATGGCGAAATATCCGTGATGAAATTCAATAAGAACGCGAGTGTCAAAAGTGAAATTAACAGTGGCGGAGTCGGAGACAAAAAAATAATTCAAGGAGAAACAAAGGAAATTGTCAACGGTTCCGCGATAAACAACAACAACAACAACAACAATGTTGTAGATAACGGTAAAAACGTTTCGTTGACGAAAGATAATTCAAAGTCGGAGAAAAAAACGGAAATCCCCGTTTGCAATGGTAAAAGTGAAACGAAAGACTCTATGATCGTCGAGAAAGAAAAGACGTCGAACGCGACGAAAATTAAATCGTGTGAAAAAAGTGATGAAGATGATAAGGTTAAGTCCTCCCCCTCCTCCTCCTCCTCCTCCTCCTCGGATAGTGATAAAAAAGAGATATGCGATGAAAGTAGAAAACCTGCCGAGGTACGTGAAAATGAAATTAATAATAAGTCTGAAGAAAAGCCTTTGAAAAATAACGAACAAGTTTTGCTCAATCCCATTTCCGGTAAGTTGGAATCAGTGCCTTCTTCTTTAAATGAAAATAAGCAAAGTGCTAATAACGACGAAACGATGACGATAAAGAAAAAAGAAAGTGTAAAAAGTGTTAAAAAATCACAAGTGACGGAATCCAAACCAAAGAAACAACAACAACAGCAGCAACAGCAGCAGCAGCAGCAGCAGTCATCCGAAGACGAAGACGGTAAAGATAAGAAAAAATCATATGTGAGCATATTGAAAAAATTCCGAAAGGAAAAATCGGGTGACAAAAAAGAATCGTTAACGGTCACAAAGAAAGAAACGACAAACGACAAATGTTCGCCTCCTGTTCTTCCCTCTCCCCTGGCCAACCTTGAAAAATCACCTTTGGAAAAATCCACCCCCCAAATCGCTGACGTTTCCGTCGAAATCAAATCGGACAAAAACGATTCGGAATATGATTTCGATGGTACGAGTCCACCGAATAAATTCATGTCCCTTCAAGAATATTCTAAAATGTCTAAACATCTTAAATGTTTGGCATCGAAAGACAAGGGAAACGAAAACGGTTGGATTTCTTTGCAAGATTTCAGAGATCACATGTTGAACAACAGTCCTGCCGCGAGCAAAGACTCTTCCCAGCAAAAGGAAAAAAAGAAATCCGTTCCCTCGCTTTTTCGAATCGGTACGGAAAACAATAAAAAAGTGAGTCCGAAACATCAAAATGGAAAATTGACGAACGACGGAACGAAACCGAAAAAAGTGGCACCGACGATAATCAATATAAAAACGGAAGGAGAAAATAGAAACAAAACGGAAATTAAAATCGATTATCCGTCGAAGGAAAAATCTTCGAGTTCGTCTCCTCCGAAACCCATCAAAATTGAAAACAAAGGCGGAGAATACAGTATCAAACATGGGGAAGATGATGAAAAATCGGGAGTGACGAAACACGAAGAGAAAATTTCGCAGCAACCGAATAACGGCGGGCCTGGTGACGATGGTAAAATTTTGAAAACGGATGACGACGCGAAAACGTCGAAAGACTCACCGAAAGAATCCGTGAAAAGGAAAAATGCGGAAAAATCAGAGGGAGAACCCGCGGCGAAAAAGAGTAAAATGATGATGAATTCCGAGGGTAGTAAAAACGACAATTTCGGAGCCATCGATTTATCGAAAACGGATGCGAGTTCAAAAGGTGATAAAAATCCGTTGGAAAATCTCATGGATCTCGCGAATAAATCCGGAACGTCGAAAAGTGACGAAAACATGGTGGAAGCGTTGATATCCGCGGCACAAAACCAAAGCATCGAACCTCTTTTGAAAATACCGCAGTATTCTCACAACAGCGCGAAAACGTCACCGAGTCAAAGTTCTCCGCCGCAATCGCGAAACATATCCTCGAACGACATTTCACAAGCTCTGCAGTTTTTCAGAGACCTGAGAACGGACATAAAAAATCTGGAAGCGAAAAGTCAATTGAGTCCGAATTCGTTCATCGAACATTTGTCGCAGAAATCGTCCAACCTGGAACCGCTTCAGCTCTACCAACAGCACATAAATTTAATAAGACGATTGAAGAGACAACAAATGGCGGCGAACGTGACGGATGCGCCGCAAAGGAAAACTCCCAAATTATCGCCGACGTCAGAGTCGAAAAAGAAAACTTCACCGGAATCGAAAACGAAAAGTATGGCGGCGGCAGCGGCGTCGGCGGTGACGACGCAACAACAACAACAATCGGAAGATGCGGCGGCAGCGGCAGCGGCTGCCGCTGCTGCAGCACAATTTAAATCTTCACTCGAAAGGATGCTGTTTCAAATACAAGATCAAATGGAATTGCAAAATCGTATGGTAGCCGCTCAAACCTACAAAAACCTTCCTCCTCTCTTGCAATTTTACAATCATCCATCAGCTTTTTGTCCGACTCCTCCGTCACCCCCTAAATCCGGTCAAAACAAACTCAAACCTTCTAGTCACTCACCGAGTTCTCCGAAATCTCCTCCCAATTCTCGTAATAAATCCCCTCAAAGTCTATCCTCTCCTCCCGGTGCTCTCTCCATGTCTCTCCCGAATTCGGATCCATCGTTTTTCGCATCGCAAAAGTACAATCAATTCATAAACGCGGGTTTGAATTCGGAAATGACGTTTCATCAAACGTTTCAAAATTATTTGAATCAACAAGAAAAGATAAATCAATTGAAACAATCGCAACAATCGATGGGACAAAAGCAACAGAATCTTCCGGTCTACGGGAAATCCATATCCGATTTGTACTACGGACCTCCCCCGCAACAGCAAACGGTTAAAAAGTTGGAATCTCCCACCACCAATTCCATGGGTGCCGTGCAAAAAACGTGAACCTTGAAAATGTGATCGATCGATCGATCTATCGATCGCGATAGATCGATAGATGTCGAAATCGAAATCCTCCGAGTCGTTAATTTTTCATCCCGTTCAAGATAGAAAGAGAATCTCGATCATATTGGATTGAACGATTGGGAAACCTGCGCCGCCATCTTTTTTTTTTTTTATTCGGGCGATCCAAATAAAAAAAGTTGTTCGTTCGAAACAATCGATAATAATAATAATTAACTTTTCGCCTTATTATCATCATCATCATCATCGTCGTCGTCGTAATTATCGGAACTTTTCATCCTTCGTTGAACCGTCCGTCATTTTTTTTTTTTTTACGTCACAGCAAAAAAAAAAAAGAAATTCCGTTAATGTTAAAATTATTATTATTATTTATTAAACGAAATCAAAACCGGAAGTGAAAACGTTTTGACGTCATGACGAGTAGCGTAGTATATATGTTAATTATCATAATAATTGTTTCGGAAGTCTTTGTGCGCGGGGAGGAAGTGCGCGGTGGAGAAAAGTTTGTTCGTTTGTTCGAACGATTGTTTTTTAATTATGGCGGAATATTTTTGTCTGTTTTTTTTTTTTTTTTTTTTTTTTAAAAGAAAAAAAATTAACGAATTTTTACCTGAGAGAGAAAGAGAGAAAGAAATTAAAATGTCGACACATTAAGAAATTAAAATAATAATAATAATAATAATAATAATAATAATTAAATGACGAGTAATTAATTATTATTATTATTATTATTCGGTGGTTAAGTCTAAGTACTCGCCGTAATTAGTACTCGTCGTCGTCGTACGAGAGGAGGAGGAGGAGGAGGAGGAGGAGGAGGAGGGGAAATTTATCATTATTATTGTGTCAGGGTAGCGACAAAAAGATTGGAGAGGAGGAGGGTGGGGAGGGGAAAAAAGTCGCCAATTTAAAAATGTTAATCTTAACTCGCGATCCGACCGGGGGCGACCGGGGGCCACCGGGGGCCACCGGCCGGCCGGTCGGCAAGCCGGCGATTACGAATGAATTTTTTTTTTTTTTACACGTACCCGTACCCGTACGCAGGTATTTTTTGTAATTAAAATCGTTGTTTGTTGTTTGTTAATAATAATGATAATAATAATAAGTATTATTATTATCTATATTAATTTAAACGTAATGCATAATGTAAAATGTTCCTTCATTATAAAAGAAAAGGCAAAGTGACGTCATCAAAAATCACTCTTAAATGTAGTCTGCTAAAAAAAAAAAAAAAAAAACCGTTTATCGAACAAACGTTTGTAATAATCAATCGGAATTTTCTTTTTTTTTTTTTAAGCGAACGAAAAACAAACAAACAAACAAAAGAACAAACGAGCAAACAAACAAACAAACACCTGATTCGAGATTACGGAAAATCATCGGGAGATTTTTCAATAAACAACCGGCGTGGAAAGAGCGACGGGGAAAATTTTTAAATCGTTTGTTTGTTTGTTTGTTCGCCTGTTTGTAATTTTCCTTCTTCTTATTCTTATTTTCTTTTAAAGCATAATAATAATAATAATAATTATTTAATTTTTTTTTTTTTTTAAAACGGATCGTAAAGAAAATCGTCTCGCTTTTGTTTGTTTTTATAAATAATAATAATAATAATAATAATGATAATGATAATAATCGAATGTCACGTGAAAATATGATGAATGTCGAAATGTATGACGTAATCCCGGTGCCTTTTTTTTTTTCTTAAAGAAATTAAATTAAATTTTAAATTAAGATGACGTCATGAATTCATTTAAAAAAAAAAAAAAAAAATTGCAACGAACGAATTTATTTATTTATTATTACTATTATTATTATTATTATTATTAATTTTTATACATATATATATATATATTTTTTTTAATTATAATTTTATGTATATGTACGTACGTATATTTATGTATAATATCTATGTATAATCAATTTATTTATTCTTCATACGTAGTGGGAAATAAGAAAAAAAATAATAATAATAATAATGTACACGTTTTTTAATTATTATTATTATTATTATTATTATTATTATTATTATTATTTTTTCTTCTTATGTACATAAAAGAACGCTTTATTATCATTATTATTTATTTTTTAAATTTGAGTTTGTCAATCACACATAAACACGCGCGTATTATCTGTCAAAAAAAAAAAAAAAAAAAAAAAACAAATAAATAAATAAATTATTAATTAATAATTATCATTATTATCAATATTATTATTATTATTATTATTATTATTGATTAACCTTTAATTCCTGATAATGATAATAAGTGTGTAAGAGAAAGAGAGAGAGAGTGAGAAAGAGAAGGAGATGGTTTTAAATGGGCTGTTGTTGTTGTTGTTGTCGACGTTTAAATTTTAAATTTCGCGCGTTTTTTCGTATTTTGTCGTGGCAGATTTGAAAAACCGTTAAATTTGTTTATTCACAACAAGTAATACATACAGACGGTACCACCACGATTATTGTTGTTATAAATCACGTTCGTAGTTTTTGTTTTTCGGTTAACCGATTGCGGTTTGTGTAAATAACGACGGAAAGAATTTTTTTTTTTTAAGTATGAAAATCTTTCAACCGTAAAGTTTTAAATATCGTACAAACGGTGACGACAACAACAACAACAACAACAACTGGAAAATTGTTGTTGTTAAATCTAAGTTTATTACAAGAAGAATAAGAAGTGGAGGTAAAATAAGGGATGCTGTTAGAAACATTTATTAAATTATGGAAATTTGCGAGGGGGATTTGCCTTAAAGGAAAATCGATTTTTTTTTTTTTTTTTTACATGAGAGACGCCATCTTGTTAAAATTTTCGGTAACTAGAAATAAAAACATTAATGGGATTTTTTTACTTTTAGTTTTATTATTATTATTATTAATCAATAATTAATCGGTTAAATGCGTTTAAAAAAAAAAAAAAACGATTAACGATTTTATCGTTATTATCGATTAATCGATTAATCGATCGATTTTTTTTACGTTTTAATACAAGAGTTCGTTTCTTTCCCTTAAGAAATCCAACGGGGGGGGGGTTGGGTTTTACGTTTAACCTTTTACCTTTTTTTCAGTTTATTTCAGTTTTTATCATTTCCGATAAATCGATAGATGTTAAAGGAAACGGAAACGAGTAAGATTCGAAAAATATAATAGTAGAAATTCAAAAGAAATTCAATGAGAAAAAAAAAACGCAAATTCAAACAAAGTTCGTTCGTTCTTTCCTTCCTTCGTTCGTTCTTTTCGTTATCACGTTTGTGACGTTTCAATTTTGTAAAAAAAAAAAAAAAAAATAGTATCAAAAATAAAAAGTTTTTCTCCCTTATACAAAGTCTATATAAAACCACGACTTCTTTATTCATATTCTATCGTTTATGAAAACCGAGTCGTACAGCGTAAACCGACTTGACAGCGTTGCCAAATTACGTCGTTTTTTATTAATTTTTTTTTAAAAAAGAAAAATAATACGGTTTCAATGACATAAGCGATTGCGCTCTTTTCAAATTTCCTCAGCAATTTAACCTCGAGTGAGAAAAAAAAAAAAAAAAAAAAAAGGAAATTTAAAAAGACGAGACGTACGTTTTAAACATAACGACAAACATATATTTATTTATTTTTAAAAAAGTTATATGAGAATTATAAAAAGACGGATTTTTACATTGCGCCTCCGTAAAATAATTTTTTTTTTTTTTTTAAATAAATTTTTCGTGAGAAACGTTAAATGAAGTACATTAAAAAGGTAAACTAGTTGTTAAAATAATTTTTTTAATAATTAATTAATTATATTTTTAAAAAAAAATTTAAGGAAAACCTGTCTGTTACATTTAAAATTATACGTTTATAGGTTGCTTTAAGATAAAAAAAAAAAAAAAAAAAAATTTTTTTCTCATCATCCGAACCTTATTTTTTTTGGAGATAAACAAAAAAAAAAAATCGCCATCAGGTACGTGAATTTTTTCTCTTTGAGAATATACCCGAAAAAAATTTTTTTAATTGTACATTATTATTAAAACGATATGAGTTCAGTAACATTTAATTAAAATTTGAAGGCCAGCAGAAGCCACGGACGCTTATTATAACAACAAAAACAAACGATTACAAAAATTTTTTTTTTTTTTTTTCATGACGTAATAATAACGAGATATTTCGATATATCGATGAAATGCTTGTGCGCGCGCACGCTCGCACACACACTCTATGGAAAAATAATTATAATGCTGCCCTTTTTTAACAAATAAACAAAAAGAAGGTAAGTTTTTTTATTTATTTATTTAAACTTTAATAATAAAATATCGTGTGTGCGTGTGTGCGTGTGTGCGAAAGTAGTAGTAAATCTAACGTATTGGAAAATGAAAATTTTTTTTTTTTTTTTTTTCGGTTTAAAACAAAAAAAGGAAAAAAAAAAAATACACACCACACTCATATATATATGAACGAGTTTTTTTTTTTAAAAAATAAATATACTACGCGTTTAAAAAATATAATTTAAAAAAAGGTAAAAAAAAAAAAATAATGAAAAGATAGGGAAAATTGTAAATGAAAACCGAACGTTTTTTAAATGGTTAATAGTTAAAAATACGTTTCCGAATCGACCGAGGGAATTCCGCCCTTCCGCTTTTTACTTAGGGGTTATTTTATATATATATTTAAAAAGGGGGGTTGTTTGTAACTTGGGATAAGAGAATTGGATGGAAACCCTGAGTAAACTCCATAATAATTTTTCTTTTTTTTTCGTTCAGACCAACTTTTTTAAATTATTATTATTATTATTTTCTTTACTATTTATGTACTATCAATAGAATGGATTCGGGTTTTATTAATATTAAATAATAATTAATAATTTATTTAATAGAATTTTTTTTATTATTATTAATTATCGATTATTGATTTTTAAAAAAATTTTCCCCAAAAATAAAATAATAATAATAATAATAAATAAATCGAAAAGAAACAAAAGAAAAAATTTTTTTTTTGGTTAACCGTTAAGTTTTGTCATTGA